AAATATATCAGTTTGTAATATTACATAAATCTGATATGATTTTTTTTTCTGTTTATGACTATAAACAAAATGATAAGATAGTTTCTATACAAGAACAATAAGTCAATTGATTATTTTTTTTCTCTAATAAATTGTTCCACGCATTTGACATTTTTGTTCTCTTGTACGCATTTTTCGACGAACATTTCGTATACGAGCTGATAATCGAGATGTTATTAAACCCTAAAAATTCAACATTAAAATGATTTAAGAAAAAAACAAATATATACATGAGGATTAATTGTATCTTCACAAGCTAAACAAGGATATTCATTAATTAGTGCAATACCAATTTTTTTATATTCAACACCATGAGTTAATTGTGGATAAACATTCATATAGAAATCAGCTGCTTCTCGAATTAATTCATTCATGATTAATTCAGGATTACCTAAAATAAATTTATATATATATATAAGAATTTCAAATGACATTTTTTTATTCGATATACCCATAAGAAGTTCATGCTGAACTTTATCACTAAATGTTGGTAATAATGGTTGATCAGGTATTCGACTTAGACCAATTTCCTATATATATATATATGATAATAAAAAAATAGTTAAAATAAATATTTTATTTACTTCATTATTATTAACATTCATGATTGGTTGAGATGATTGCCGTGATGGAGGCGTATAATGAGTGATTTCATCATAAGTATCATCAGCTGTTATTCGACGTGCACGTTGTTGATTTATTGGTGTTTTATTATTATTATTTGTTGGTATAGATTTACTTATTGTTGTCTTTTTAGCAACACGACGACGAGGAAGAGGTGGATCAGCTATTAAATCCTAAAGAATAAAAAGATTTATTTAAATAAAAAAATTTTTATGTTTTAGTAAACATACTGATTGATAATCTGTACGTGCAGATTTAAAAATTGATTCATTATCTTCCTAAAAAATATAACGAATATTATTATGTAATTTGAATATTAACTTACAAGAGATGGACTTCGTTCTCTTCGAAAATTTATTCGTTGAGAAGGAACAGTTGTTAACTGTAATCGAAAAAAAAGATAATAACAATCAGTCACGATAGAAAATGAATGATACTAACTTCAAATGGTCCTTGAGAACCATCATTAGGAACAAGAAAATCATGCAGAAAGATAGTTGATGAAGACATTACAAGAATTTCCTCAAGAAGTTTTCCGAATTGATAAACACAAAACAAAAAAAATCTGTCAGGCGAATCATCATAAAAGAAATAGTCTCTTTTGATTAGTCAAACGATTGAATATATATATATATTACAATAATCATAGATGTCGGTCAAATACGTTTTCCACTGATCATCGTTTTTAAGAAATGTTTGTCAAACTGAGTATAATCCTGAAAATGACATTTTCTTTTGTAATGTTCCAGAGCAACCAGACTATCAAATTAATACTTCTAAATTAAGAAAATCAACTAATTAGTACGTGGATGACTATGTTACATCGTAGTGTCTCTCTTTGTTCTGTTCATGTGAATTTATAACAAGAATCTCTACTATACATAACACGAAAAGATAAACATATTACCTAATTGAACACACAGAAGTATGAGATAAAACAGTCTCTTTAAATTGTTACTATGTTATTTTATCAATCAAAAAAGAAATATGTGGTTAAATTTAATATTTTATATCTGTAATATGCTTTATATACACTTTCTTATCGGTAACATAATTTTTAGTTAGTAAAATTAATGAAAAAGTAATCAGCTTTTTATATATAAGTATCCGCAGAAAATTCAGGAGACCTAGTCGAAAATCGTGAATTTTTTCCTACTCTGATGTTTGTATGCTAAGATCTTTTCCATGTTGTATCGATATTTTTCAGTGCGGTATACAGGTAAATGAGTACAAGCCAACGTAATATTCAGCATGTAATACTGAAAAACATATACGAAAGGGACGAATCGGCAGCAGGTTGGTTATTGGCTCTAAAAGCATATTCATTTTATGCTATTTCAAGAGTGAGGAAAAGTCCATGATTTTTAACCAGGTCCTTTGATCAATAAAAAAGCAGAAGATATAAGTTTTATTCTTAGAAAGATTATTTTATTATAAGTAAAATAAATAGGATAGAGAGTGGCTATGTGTATGATCACTTTATCATCAACCACACTCACCCACATCTACACCCTCAAGATGATTTTTTTAGGATATGATAAACATTGATCTATATCTTCATTAGATGAAACATAGTCTGTCTCTTTATAACTATTCTAAAAATCATATAGATCCTACCCTACAGAAAGATAAGAACAGTGTAATCTTTTATTTTCATTCAAGCTTTGCACACACGAATCAAAGACTTGCTATGAATAGGTATTATTACAACTACGACAGATGATTATCACAAGGCTAAACTTTATGTACTCCATAAGATTTCATAAAACAAAACTTCGTCATTAAGAATCTTGCGCACGAGTACCAAAGAAGAACAATAGACATTATTAAACTACCTTCTTCTAATTCTTTCGATATTCGACAAGAATTTGTGATTTATATTATTAGATTTCTTGTCTTTGTAATGACTGAAAAAATTCAATAATTATTTATAATCATTAGTATTTCATAAAAATCTACATACAAGTGTCGAACAGAGTACGATAAAATAAATATTATATATTATTCGTTTGTCAACAAACACTACAGATTGTTTGCCAACATTTTTAATCAACTGTGCAATATCGAAAAGATTTTAATACTCCCACTTTCCGTACTATACGTCAATGAAAATATAAGATTCGTATCATAATCGTCCTTATCTCAGTTAACGCTAAATTTGAAATTTCTTCTCGACAAAAACATGGGTGGGCTGAATCTTTTATTATACGGCTTGCGGCTATTTCATAAAACTAAAGATTGAGTTCCGTGTCTTTTCAAGTCGATAATATTTCCTTTCAGGATAAACTTGACCTCATTCAACTATAAAAGTTCCGTTTCAACTACTGTAAAAAATATTTATTATTCTTATTCATGTTATATATGAAAATCATAGATTTTCCATTTATTATAAACTTGCGCAAGTCATTAATATCTCATATTGTCAAATTACTTCTAGATATATAATAAATAAAAATCTTGTTGAAATTTTTAAATATGATTTATCTCAAAATAATCATTCATACTAATATTTTTGTTTTGTCAATCTATAAATCAAAATGAATTCTTCTTTTTTTT